CTCTTCCTGCACAGAATGTAACGTGACTTCAGTGTGACAATTCAGAAGTTGGATCCAGGAAGCTAGTCTGCAGGAGTCAGGTGTACTTTGGTTGGCACAAATACTATAAGCGAGCTGGGGGTGAATACACATGATTCCCCTATCCGTATTGAACTCCCTTAAAACAATTTTAGATGCAGTGTTCATTTTAATTGACTTTGAATCCCTTGGATCCATGTTTTGGTCCCTCCTTCAGACAATATGTTAAACAAGGATGCCGGCTGCCTGTCCAGGTGGATGACAAAGATCCCATTACACTATTCGAAAAGGGAAGGGAATTTCTCCTTGGGTTCTGGATAAGAATCCCCCAAATAAAATCGGTCATTCATTTCACAGCTGTTTGCAGGCCTTTGAGATGTATGAAGTGGTTACTGCATTTGCCTACAAACTTTATAGTCACTACACTTTACAGTATATTCTGTGATGTGCCTTGAGTCACTATATCAATTGCAAGGATTATTATTTTATACAAAGTGGAAATCAGTGAGGAAGACCGGTTTTAAGTCATTGCATGTCTTTGTTTACATTAGAAATAATTGCACATCTAGGGCCCTTAGGGTTTTGCTTTGCTTGGGTGAAACATGTCTGCATCTGCAAGTATGTGTTGAAATCCTCAAACCTGTCCAGCTTTGCCTTGTGCATCTCCTTACTCAATTCAACCTCAGGGAGACTTAGCTTTCCCTCCCCCCCCTCACACACCACCACCACATACACACATCACACACAAAGTGCCTTTAAAAGGGTGAAACCCCAGTCAATCCACCTTTTGGTCTGTCTAAGATATCTTGGATGACAAATTATTGACCTGAATTGTAACTTTCTCATATCAACAGGTTTTGCAGGTTTCTAAAGAACAGTGGAATTGGGAAGATGTATGTTGGCATGGAATTGGCATGATGTATGTTGGTGTGGTGTTGGAAGGATGAGGCTTCAAAAAGTGACGATGAAGTTGGCAAATGTAAATAGAGGGTGGAGAGAGTTCCAAGGTCCTGTGTACCATTTCAGGTGGACAATAAAGATAAAACTGCTCGACAAGAGAAGGGTGTACTGGCCACCAATCCTCCAGATAAAAATTGGTTATTCAATCCTTGCATGTATGTGGAGCACTGCTGTGCACAAATTGGTTGCTACATTCACCTGCAAAGAGTCATTGCGCTTTACAGAGAAAACCTGAAGTGCTTTGAGAGGTTTCAATGTGATAAGACGATCAATAATAATAATAATCCTTGCATTTGATATAGTGCCTTATCACATCTTCGAGATATCTCAAAGTGCTTCACAGAATATACTGTAAAGTGAATTGACTATCTTTTATGAGTGAAATTTAATGATTATTATTAAATATGCCTTATTAAATTATTAAATTATTAAATATGCCTGTAGTTGTTAAATACAAGTCCATAACAGCATTTAAAGGAGAACTGGATAATATTACAAAAAGATATGAAGAAAGCAGTCAAAAGGGAATGGGATTAAGAGTATATAGCTCCAGTAGAAAAGCTACCATCAATAGAGATATAGTGGGCCAAACATCTTTCTTTACTATAAACATTGTATGAAACTTGTCGAAGCAAGAAATAAAAAAATAAACTATGATGAAGCCTGTATATACATTTAAAAAGCCATATAACCTGACATCTCAAGACAGTGGTTCTCCAGACCTGAAACTTTGTCATCTCAAGGAAAGTGAACGACAAATGTAAATGTAGCCTGAGCACTTCATAATGGGGTATATGCTAACAGGTTTTAAAACTGCATTATAAGGTCCATCACCATTTTAATTTCAAGTCGATCATAAAAATACTGTGTCAATGCACCCAGGTCTAATAATACTGCATTTGATTTTAATGCTCTCAATTTTTTAGCTTCAAATACGGCTTTTGTACAAAATTGACTTTGCTCCTGAGGCAATAAACAAGACACCAACAGAACCTCGCCCACAACTAGAATAATTTGCTTTCTGCCAGCTATAAAATCTCCACTGCACTAAACCTTAAAAGTAGACGTACACATGGCTTTTTTTAAAAAAAGGGCATCAAAATTCCTGTAAATCTGAAATAACCCTTTCAGTCACAAAATCCCTTTGCTTGTTCCCTGCAGGTTAGGGAATTGTTCAGTGTGCTAATAATTTAGATTGGAAGGTTACAGGAGAAAGCTTTCAGTTGATCCTCAATATTGGAGATGACAGGATTGTTTTCCTTAGAGCAGAGAAGGTTGAGGAGCGATCTAACAGAGGTGTTCAAAATTATGAGGGTTTTTGATAGAGTAGATATGAAAAAAAATGTTTCCTCTGGCTGGGGTGGGGGATGGGGAACAGAGGCCACAGATTTAAGATAATTTGCAAAAGAACCAGAAGGGAGTAGAGAATTTGTTTTACCCAGAGTTTTTACGATTGGAATACAATGCCTGTAGCTTTCAAAAGGGAATTGAATACATACTTGAAAAGGGAAAGTTTGCAAGGCTATGGTGAAAAAGCAGGGAGGTGGGACTAGTTTGAAAAGCTCTTTCAAAGAGCTGGCACAGGCATGATAGGCCAAATGGCCTCCTTCTGTGCGGTAACATTCTACGATATTCTTTAAAGGGGGAGTGGTAGAGGAATTTTCTTTAGACTACTGACCATTCACATTCATATGTTCAAAGTTGAACTGTATTAAGTAAAAGCACTTTAATATCAACATCATTATGTAACATGAAACAATTGACCTGATATTTACTGAACATTCAATTTTTAAAGTGTGACATGCTGCAGAATTGTCAAATTGTTGTTGATAATCTGTACCACAGTTGCAAATCAAGACAGGAAAGAGACTAACAAAACATTGTTTAATGGTACCTGGTACATGGACGAACTGCACAACAGAGCTTTAATTTATTGGGCATTTTGAAACTGAATGGAACAAAGCACAAGTTATTCACATGCCAAGCATGCTAATCCTATGCTTTAGACAATTTTATCAACTCTAGTCAATAATTGAACAGGATGTTTTATGATCACAATGTTAATATTCCAATTACAGAATTTATTGATTCAGCACAGGATGCATCAGTAAAGGAATCAATTTGTTCATTTTTTAGGCTCCACCTCTGGTAAGCACTCTGAGACAATTCCCCACATGAAGGGCACCATATAAATGCACGTTGTTTCATATCATATTCTAAATCAATGCAATTCATGTGATAAATTACTCCACTGCGTTCTCTGATTCACAGGCAGTGACAAGTGGTGTCCCCCACTTGTCAGCATTAAAACGTGCTCAATAACCTGAATACAGGAACAAAGTGGGCTATTTCCAAAATTGCATGTGACGTTAAAATAGGTGTTGTAAAGCGTGAAGAGAATAGGTGAATAATACAAAGACAGATTAAACAAGTAGGCAAAACCTTGGCAGATGGGAGTTTCACTTTGTTGTGTGAGGAAGTCCAATTAAGACAAAAAAATAGCAGTTGGGAATATGTTCTAAATTGGCAAGTGAGCGCAGAAATCTAGGGGTACTTCATATATCATTAAAATCTAATTTGTAAAAAGAGAAAGCAATCTATAAGGCAAACTGGGTGCTGGTATATATTACAAGAGATCTGGAAGATAAAAGGAGGTGTTCACCAGTTATATAGAATACTGGTTAAACTTCATTTGGAGCATAGTGTTCAGTTTTGGATACCCAAACAGATGTAGAATAGACACACTAGCTAAGGAACCGGTGCTGTGATGGTTCACTAGATTAATACTGTTCTTGGGATAAAGGGGTTTAGCTATGATGAAAGACTGGATAGACTTGGGTTGTAACCCTCAGAGCAGAGGAAGTGAGTTGATTGAGACATTTAAAATAATGAAACAATTTGACAAGTTGGATTGTGGCAAACTCCTCCCTTCAGTAGATGGATGCATTACAAGGCTGTGCAATATCTAATAGATGTCGATACTCTTGTTAACACAAAGCAAAATAGATTAAATCAAAAGCCAAGTCCGTATTTTTGCTTGAACCTCCATGCTAAAATTAAGAAAGAGACCATCTATGCAGTCAAGGTACAGGTATGGAGGGATTTCACGATTAAAACATTTAAGTCTCACTTGGATTAGGAAGCATAACCATGCAAAAGCAAACGCCAAGAATTGGGAGTTCTGCCACAGGAAGAGGATGGGTGGAGAGCTATCCGATAATTTTTCAATTATCGAAATGTCTCTTTTAAACTCAAGCCAATATATAATCTCAGACAATATATTCTGTGAAGTGCTTTGAGAAGCCTCAACGACGTGATAAGGCACTATATATAATGCAAGGTTTATTAGTATTATTAAGACACAATCTTAACTTCTATCCAGAAGAAGTTTTATGCCAAAAATACATCTGAAGTAAAATGTAATTTTAAAATTGGTAGCTCCATCCTGATGGTCCATCACAGATTTTTCTATAAAAAATATTGATTTCTTCAACTCTTTCTTTTCAACAATATGACCAACAGAAATAAAAAAAAAGGCCTTGCAGTGTTAAGTAGACTTCATTCCATTTTGGGACCAATCTGTACAAATACCAGAGATTCACATAATTCTAGAAATGACAGAATAGTTTTGTAGTGGAAAAGACATCTCTCTCATCTTTTCTTGAAGACTGTAATTTCAGTTTAGGATACAGCTCCATAGTGTCAGCTGCCTCTAGTACCTCACTCATTCTTCATAGTCAACCTAATGCAAGTCTCAGCAGGCGATTCAAATACAAGTGGCCTAATAGCCAAGTTCAACATCCAGCACCATTCAACATCTACAGTAAATACTTGCATGTTGCAACAGGGAGAAAATGAGAAGGCAGGTTGGCCTAGAATTATGGAAATTTTTGTCAACATATTGTAAAGTATTACACATTAGTTTTATGCTGCATTTATCTCCATGACTTTACCATAATTTAGAGTAGGATACAATGTCAAGCCACCATGCTGTTTCCAGTTCTCACAAAACTATTCCTTACCTTAATCACTGCAACTGCATGTACCATTAAGGGTTAGTTCATCTGGGATCCATAAAATTATCCGAGGATATCTGAAATCATAAACAGAAATAATTTGATCATTTTAATTTCCAAAATCTGCAGATAAAAGTAAACTCAAATATAGTAAAGTAACATCCAAAATAAACTTAAATAAATGGTGATTTATCATTAGATAAATGATGGAGATGGACAGTCCTACAGAAGTGCGGGAAAGCTGGGCCGTGCAATTTATTGTTGTTGATGTTATTTACGTTAACCTCTCAGTCCCTCTGATCTTTCACTCCTTATAAAATGTTACCACCTAACATATACTTGATCTCTTTATTCTTCCTCCCATAACCTTATATTTGTCTACATTAAATTTCAATTGCCATTTCTCAACCCAATCCACTAATCTGTCAATTTCTCCCTGAAATTTCTTACAGTCTTCTTCACTGGTAACTTCTCCCTATTTTTGTCTCAACTGTACATTTAGAAATTATGTCCTTTATACACATGGAACATATGGGCACCTACAAAAGAGCAGATGGGTTTCAGCTAGATGACGTCAAACTCAAAGTTAATGTCAACAGTATTTCACAAAAAGACATTTAAAAATGAGAAAGGAGCCTTGGATGGATATATTTGTATATAAAAAGACATTGTCTATACCTCATGCTTATCCAAAGAACATATATTAAATCTGGCATATAATGAATTTCTTAACAATATACATATAAAACGTGTTGGTTTTGAATAATCTGGAAGTGGATAGATCAGTGGCTTCCTGTGCGTATTGATTAGAGCACTTGCCTTGCAAACGAATGGGGGTATTGGGTTTGATTCCTGGACGGGGCAAAACCTTAGGCAGGTTTCCTTACGCTACACGCCTCTGTTTGCCTATACTAAGTAGGAACCTGGTGGTCACTCGATTGGCAGATAGCTTTCCGGAATTAATAATAACTTCAAAATAAATAAACAGGTTACTCAATTCATGACTGTTTACAGGACACTGTTTATACAGTTGTCCTCAGTTAGTTGCAAATCTTTGTGAAATGAGTTAGGGCAGTGCCAATCCAGGACGAATGGACATTGTTCCCAGCACAAATGGTCTTCTAATGGCATTTTCACACATTGTCTGGGACTGTGAAGTGGAGAGAAACAGACAAAGGGGTTGGTGGACCACGTAGTTGCATCTCTGGCAAGTTAATTTGTTAGACGGTGGATAAATTTATCACATGCATCAAGTTGTTGAGGGGGTCAAATTGCAAAATAAATTTTTTATTATCAACATCACTAACCCTCAGATTTTGTTTAAACAAAGGTATTGAATACTGCAAAAATGAAATGGAACAAAATTCCAGAAACACAGCAGGTAACATAATACAGTTAGATCACTCTTTCCCAGGCAACAAGTATAGCGCCCTTTAAGCAGGGTTGCGTTTGGAGCACAGAGGCACATCAGCAAGACCCCATTTATCTTCTCTTTCTCCCACTTCCATCTTGTTTTTTTAATGGAATGATTAGCTTTTACTCTGAAACACTATATATGAAGGATTTAGTATTGAGAAGAAATGGAACATGTCCAACAATGATCTCATAGTTGTATTTCATACTTGTAGACCTTTAGTCTACTTAATTGATATCTAATCAATATCATTAAATAACATCTTTGGAGTGGTATACATTAAAATCTTTCTTCAGTACATTAATGAACTGATGGGCACACTTTTTACACTTGTTGAATTTAACTCAGTTATCCTTTTGGCCCAGAATCCCTCGATTTTACACTGTATAACATAAGATTGTCATATCAATCTTGGAATCTGCTTAAATTAACATGCCTCTACATGCTTGTCCCTCGTGCCCTCCTGCTTTTTAAGAGGCAGCGGATAGTGGGTTGGGGTGTAAGCAGGTCGGAGCGGTAAGGAGGTGTGAAGGCATGAAGGCATTTGAAGACAAAATGAACAAGTAAAACCCACATATGATATACCTAAAAATGTAAAGGATAATGATTCATAAGGAGACAGTCCAGTGAAAGCTGTAAGTTCCAGCCTTCTACATTTTTAATACCTACTTTTCCAAAATGTAAACATTCAATTCTTATTTTCTTTTGTGGTGGGGGAGGGGAAAGCAACCACATTACATTTTTTTTCCCGTGGGAAGAGGATTCATTTAATAGTTAGAATAAACTTTCAATATTTCGGACTAGCTCTATTCCTTGAAGTTCAAAATCCGTGAACAAATAATTTAATTCCCGGAAGCAATAAATGGCTGTCATTTGGAATGTCTTCAGACACAGAATTACCCTAAACGTATTTCAAACAGGAGAAACGCTGACCTTTTGTAGATGTAAAATAACCAGAGGTTTATATAATTGTGCACAAATGCCCTGCATTTGAATTGATCTCATTAGATCAGGCTGGTTGGTTTAAAGGCTCAGTGGTTTATACCTACCACTTCACAAACCAACCACAGAAACAGCGGAAGGTATTCATCTCTTCCAATCCGTAACGGTTTCTTTTATCAAATGGGAGTGGCTCAAAATCTCTACTGTGTAACTGCAGTGATAATACCTATATTTCCTTTTCAATATTTATTCTAGTAATTTCAAGCACACAAGCAAGATTGAAATAATAATTCTTGCATTTGATATAGAGCCTTATCACGTCTTTGAGACGTCTCATATACTGTAAAGTGAATTAACTGTATATTTTGCGGATGAAACACAAGGCAGCCAATTGTGCACAGCAGTGTCCCACAAACAGTTGTGGATTGAAGTGACTAATGTATTATTATTTTTTTTGAAGGAATTATTACCCCCCAGAATAGCAGGGTGTAATAATTCCCAATCGACTAACAATCAGGTTCCTACTTACTGCTAGGTAAACAGAGGCGTGTAGAGTAAGGAAACTTGCCCAACATTTCGCCATGTCGGGAATCAAATCTAGGTCTCTCGCTTGGGATGAGAGTAGTCTAACCACTGAGCCATAGAACTCCATGAAATTAAACAACATTCCAGGAATCGAGCTAATCAAAAATAATGAAGGTCGATTTGCATTACTAGATTGATTTCCCCCTCCCTCACAGTGTGAGAAATGTGACTGCTCCACCTCAAAACAAATTAATTGAATCTTTAAATACTGTAAAAAGTCAGGAACAACATTTGGGTAGCAGAAATCCCCCAAATAATTTTTATGCCATGTGGTACACATGTAAACATCATCATAATACTTTCACAACATCAATATCTGACACTGTTCATTAGCAATCTCTAGCCTCACGGGATGGCTTACAAACCATGGTGTTGTTACATGATCCAGCGATTATGCACCTCAATTAGTATGGTATACCACCATATAACACATGAGTTCTTAATCGAGTGAATTACTTAAATATTTTGCTCCTGATCTAGTTTGTACCAGTTTTTTTCAAAATGTCTATTGACAAAATTATAAAAATAAACTAAGTTCAATCCTGTAATATACAGAACATTTGTGGCAATGATTAATTGGACCTTCAACATACAGCAAAATCATGCTGTGTGATAAGATTGGAGATATTCACCTCACCAGTACAGAGTCTTGGTGTCTTGATCCTCAATTGTCTTTCAAACCCCACATCGTAACATGACCCGTTCTACCTTTCCCCACCCGCACAACATTGTCTGTCACCAGCATTACCTCTCCCCTCAGGCTGCCGAAACCCTCACCCACCACTTTAAGAACAAAACTTTTTTAAAAGTCACATATTGGAAGGAAATCAAAGTTGAGGTGAGAAGTATTGTATCATTTACAGATTCTTTGCAGAAATCAGCTGCAGAGTTATCCCAATGGGAGTAACTCGAGTGAGATCTTTCGCCCTTCTTTCATAACTGACACTTCAGTTAGAATTAGGTCTTGTGGAATTTATTGTGGATGCAGCAGATTAGGCGAGTGAAGGCAGCTGTGGTGGGTTGATCTTCTATAATTAAACATTTCTGAAGGAAAGCCATCTGGTCCAGGATCCTTGATGACAATAAACTTCATCTCGGATGGATAATTGCCTGCTCATGCACAGTTGGATGCTCTGATGTAGACTGATCTATACAGAATTAATCGCTATCAACATCTCCATAGTTATAGCATGCGACTACCAGGTAGAAAGTGAAATAGATGGACATTGGTCTTTTTTCATCTAGCAATTCGTATATTCCTGTGCAATAATGTTCATTGCCTGCGCATTCACAGTTGATGTCAAGGGAGCACTGAGGTCTTCAAATACATTATTGTCAAATGAAGATCTTAACCTGTAATCAATGCACTGGATTCATTTTCTAACTGGACAAGCCAATTGGTGTTTGTTCGATAGCAGGAACTGATTTCCTGGTAGGAGTGTTTGCTATGTGTTGGCCCTAGAGTCTCTCTAAATCACCCTCTCCCTCCCCGCTCAAGACTCATCTCTTTGACCATGCTTTCGGTCATCTTTCTCCTCCCACCCTAGACACATTCCTTTGGATGAGATACTCTTCTAGGTGCTATACTTAGTGTTGCCATGATAATTTTGCACTTGAACTGGGACTACACTAAGAGAGCTGATTACCTAGGAACAGGCCCAAATGTGGATAAGTAAACAGTGCTGATAATTGGCGGGAAGATAACTAGCATTCTTACCTACAAAATACAGTTACTACACTTTACAGGAAAATCCTGTGAAGCAATTTGACATCTCCAAATGCAAAAGGCACTATATTAAATGAAAGGATTATTATTTTTAACCTATTCTCATAGCGTAACACTGTTAACAGTATTAACTTATATTGTACAGCACCCTTAACACAGAGCAGTGCCTCAGATTTTATCAGTGGCAGAGTTCGACGCTGAGCTGGGAGGGGGGCAGGTGACTGAAGGTATGGTCGAAGAGGAAAGTCTTCAGGTGCGATCTGAAGACTGGTAAAGTGGAGGTATTGAGACAATGTGGCAGAGATAGGCAATATGCTCTTGGTCAGGGAACAGATGTGGTGTCGGAAGAATAACTGGAGAGCAAACTCGATGTCCAGATTGCGCACAGGAGTCAGTGAATCTGAGGGTTA